TTAATTAATAATGTTTTAGTTCAGTCATCTTTATTTCCCCCTCTCCCTCCAGCTGTTATCTTTGATTTACCAGCTGAACTACTCTGCCATTCTTCATTGCTCCAGGCACTGGACTCGCCCCATCCATCATTGTCCCAACTAATCAAATCTTCCCAACCATCATTTTTTGCTACTGCAGCTTCAGTCTTTGGTGGCGATTTTGTTTTTCGCCTCGATGATGACAATGACTCCCTTGTATTCTGCGATGTGCCTTTTTGGGATAAGGTTGGCTGTTTTGTGATTTCAGAATCACTTCCCCATGCCCAAGAATCCCCATTATCTTCATCATTGCCTTTCAGTGATGCCTTGCCATTACTAGCCTCATTATCATCAGCTTCTTCATCATTTACATCTTCATAGCCATCCCAATCCCAATTATCATCTTTAAGAGTAGCAGTACTATTCATTGCTGACACACCATTAACTGAACCATATCCTCCTCCAGAGGTTCCTCCACTTGTCAGAGACTTTGTTCCATAACCACCAGCGCCTTGATTGACAAGTGTTTGGATGTTTGCCCAACCTTTTACACTGGCAGTCTGAAGATTTGTCCATCCCTTCGAGCTGGCATCCCGCATCTATAAATAAAAGTTGTTTCAAACACACTTCAAACACACTTCAGAAATATTTCTGGTGATCACAGTTTTTGGATTTTCAAGGTAAACTGCAACAGGTAACATTTGTAGGGGAGGAAAAGGTCAATTTTTGACTGCAAAAAGACATAGCTCAAGTCAAAATATCTTTTAACCACATGCCAATATGTGAACACAGTATTGGACATATTTTAGTATTCCACTATTATGCCATTAACCATTTTAGGACATTGGAATATGCAAAATATGTCAAGGAATTACACTGTAGTGCAGGGCAAAAACACAGATGACAGAGTTAAAAAGAAAACATACCTTTGTGGACAAACTGGACATAGAGGTTGTTACATCATCAAGAAGCTTGCCTTCCTGGACCTTAAATGTAAAATGTTTCATTCAAAATCACATGAACAGAACTTGTCAATGAATTCTTTTTTTATTCAGGTACTTTCTTGCTTGCTTCTGTCAGATCAATTTATTTACGATCAGACCTCAAATGAGCATATATAACTTATCATTTTCAGCTATGTGATGGCTTTCCATCAAAATTACAGGAATCAAAATTTTCATGATCAGAAAGAGAATTGAAAATAAATTTTACGTAAGTAAGAGGAATTAACTCTTTACACCCTAACATTAGAATGGATGATGTCTATAATGTTGTTTATACATTTACTATAGCATTCACAGGAAGATTTTGTTAAAAATCAAGAGCTTTTCAATTAGGGTCATTTCATTAATCCTCACGAGCTTATGTTTGATTCTACAGTGATACCCTGGTGAGGAATTAGATGCTAGCCACCCTCTGAGGTTAAAGGGTTAAAGAAAAAAATTAATTTTTTTAGGTTACTTTCTGATCTTTTGACATCGACAATATGAGGTAGATCCATTACACAAATAAGTGAGAAAGGAAAAAGTTCTAAAACAAGTTATAGAATCAAACAAAAGTAACTTTTCTTGACTGAATGAAACAAAGACAAACTTGAACTTCTTCAGGTTAATGTCTGAACAAGTCTTGTAGGAGGTCCACTTACCCTTGTTAAGTGGAAGTTCAAACCTCTCTAGTAAATCATTGACAGTTTTAAGTGTAGTGAATACTTTAGTGTATGATCCATAGGTTGTGATTTTAAGTCAACTGTGTTGAGTGTGTGTGTATCCCTTTAACTATAATAACTTCCAATATAGAGAGATACATATTCTCTAAATGAGAATCAGTGAAACAAAAAGACAAAACAAAACAAAAGTTACCCTTGTTGATACTTTCTTCATCCCTTCATTCATAGTACTTCCCAGTTCTACAGCCTGAGATAAACAAAATATCATTATACCTCTTAAATATATCACTGTCATCACTCTTAGAGTGATAACATCTTTCTAGTATGTGCAATAAGACATTCAAACTTCAAAGTACAGTGTCATAGTTGTTCCTAAAGAGTTCATTACAAAAAATTGCTTGAAATTAGCAACCATCCCCTTTTTCCAGAAAGTTTATTAGGCAACTAAATTTTGTTTGGTTTGAAGCTGATTGTTTGAGGGAAAAAAATGGACAACTGAACACCAGGCACATAAAATTATTGCATAAACTAAGAAGTTAAGATATTGGCTGCCATATAATTACATCACAACTACACTTAATTTGTAAAACAAGTAGGAAAGTTGACCAAAATACCAGTACATCAATGTCCTAAAATTCCTTTCTTTCAAATTCTTGTCTATGAGAATATTGAAAATGTGCCATTTTGCCCAAGGAGGGAGGCTGCCTTCTTAATTAAAAGTTAAACGGGGTGAGTCAGGTGTGTGATCCAAGAAAGAAAAGAGACACCACAAACATTAAGGAATACCATGGATGTTTTGCACCCACTGCACTTGGTATGTGGAGTTTTCCGACAAGGAACCAAATTGGCTTCATGAGTGCAACCAAATTCATGGTATGGTTGCCCAATTTTTAAACTTTGAAAAAATGATTCTTCTTTTCCATTTCAACTTAAGTGTAATAGGAATATATTGTATAAGACTCATTAAACCATCAAAAGCTGCTCATCTTGGACTGACAGTGGTAGGTGACTTCAGTTCCTCTCCAGTACATACCTTGGATGCTGTTGGTTTGAGAACTGACTCATTGACTGTTGAACCCAGCTTAACAGCCTGCAAAAACATCACAAGGAGTAATAAAAATATATGAGGATGATAATTGCAAGATAAATTACTGTTAAACTTTGGGCCAATCCCAAAAATGTGCTTTTTCCTATCACCTTCTCTATTGAGAAAGAGGGTTAGTTGGGCCTACAAAGAGGACAAGGAATTGGCTGACAGAAACTGAGTTCAAAGAGAGCCTTGAAATGAGGGAAGAAAACCTGGTTACATGTGAGCATTCTCTTGCTAACTGCTCATTGCTTTCCTAACCCAAATGTTTCTGAGAAAATACATTGACTGGAAAATTGTGAATGCATGACTCACCTACTATTCTAAACATGTCTTGATCATATGTTTGCTTTTACAGAGAATAATGAATGTGAACTCAGATATCATAAATATCAAAATGTGTCCCACTGGACTGTGTATCTTGATCTGTTTTCCCTATTTCTATTTTCCACTTGGGTCAGGAAAACTAAAAGAAATAAAACATCTTACTTGTTGTGAAGCAACAGCAGCCAATTGAGCAGCTCCAGTGGTAAATGAACTCCAACCCTAAACAACATATAACCATGTATTTCAGCTCTAGTTTTTTTTCAAGATCAAAATATCAACTCCCCAAATAGTCTCCTATACATTTCACACAATTTTGGCTTCAAGAATAAGGTCTTGAATCAAACAATATGCCCCAGTCAACATTTTTCTCAGTTCTAATAACCTTTCACTTAGTATCAACATTGTCAGGTTAAAATTATTTTTGGTTGCTCCTACATGTAGAATGGAAGGGTTAAAAATATGTTGAAACAATCTATAACTTGGTGAATCCTGCTTTGCAACGACAGGAAAGACCACCACCAAAGTATCAAAAGAGAATGTCATGTTAAGTGGGATCCCCAGAGTGTAAGTAGTTCTAAATTGGACTTTGCTTGGAGACACTGACAAATGTTTTAAAAACATGAGTGGAAGTCATCATCAAACACAAGCGAAGAGTTATTTTTGAGTAAAATGTTGTAATTTCAGTTCTTCAAAATGGATTGGTCAGTTTTGCTGTCATGTAATGGAGGCATTCATCAGTTGTGACTGAGATTTGTTACAGTGTATCATTACTTGCAGGCAAGATCATCCTTTATTTTTAATACTACCACTATTATCAGAATTAAATGAATAATACAGTAAAATGAAAAAACCTTCAACTTACAGATGAAAGAGAAGAAAATGTTGAGTCCCAACCTAAGGAAGTGTTGGTTTAAATGAAAAAAAGAGTCATGCGAGATAAATAATTATCAATTATATAAGACTGACAGAAAAAAATGATGTAAATTACAAATGAACACAATTGAAATTGTAATTTTAGAATCAACTCCTTACACCCTGACATCAGTATGCATATTCTCTATACTTTTCTCCATACTTTTTCTAAGGTGCTGACAAGGAGAATTGTTTAACAATCGAGAGCCTTCTTTTATTCTTGTGACCTTAACATGTGATTCAGAGATGATATTGTAGGGAAAAATAAGATGTTGTCACTCCTTGGGGCCAAAGGGTTGGAGAAAGGACAAAACCAACCAAGCACTGGTTTTGAACTGAGAGTTGACTTCACTGGCAGAATGAGAAATGTGGTGAGGAAATAGGTTCCCTAAATGAATAAAAGTTCTGGATCATCCGCCACCTTTTACTCTGGACAATAATATTACCTTACTATTAAAAATACATTGGTAGGAAGCTCATTGTCAAGTAATGGACATTTCTGGGGAAGAAGTTACTGAACAGGTCATAAAAAAGATGTCAACCTACCTGAGCTATTTGCGGTTACAACTGGTGCCGATCCAAAACCGGTGTATCGTCCACCTTGACTCGGAGGTAGATTACTAAAAATAAAAATTCAAACCAAATGTAACCAAATGAAATCATCTGTTAGTCTTTAATATAAGTTATCTAGTAAGCAACTAGCAGGAGTGCTTGGGCTGGAGATCTGTGTTGTAACACATCCCATCAAGAGAAATGGAAGAACAATGATGACTATTTTGATGATGATAAAAATTATGATGATGATGATGATGGTATTAAAGGGAAACACTTTTTAAGTTACCGAGAGAGGAGGAAGTTACATAAAGGAAAGCCTCTATGGAATGCGTTAGATGTACAAATTTGACTATAAAAGAGAAACCACTAATTTATACCAGTAGTGACTTACTCAGGCCTTGAAGCATTTTCCATCTGTCTCCGGCTGAAGAAATCCTCTTTTTGAGCATTTAATTCACTCCTGGAAATAAAGCATTAAGTTAAAATCACAACCCCAAATGGCTCATGGAAAGTTTGTACCCTACCAGTTTCCATTTTCAAACCCTTAACACCCTTGTAGTGACCAGCATAAAATTTCTCTTTACAGAAGTATTGCTGAGTCAGTCATTAAGGTAATGAGAATAAAGAAAATGATCGCCAACCTTGGAAGCTTTGATCTTTAAATGAATTCTCCTTGTCAGTGCCAAAGGAAAAGTATAGACAAGAGTATGGAAAATATAGATACTGAAGTTAGGATGTAAAGGGTTAAATCAAATCGGTGAAGCTAGATTTGTCTCCTGTGAACCTGGCATGTGGCCTGGCTTGCCAACAAGCTCTTAATAGTCTGGTTGGTAGTGTATCCAACTGCAAATTCAGAGGGTCTGAGGTTTAATATTTCCTTTGCCTTACCCTTGAGAAAAATTAATTAGTGGTCTCTAACTTTGTGTGCTCACTTTTACAGACATTTAAGACTTAATCTGTTAATCAACTTATAAAATTATCTTCCTGCAGCTAGAGTGACTGAAATGTCGAGTTTCTTTGCCACTCATGGTAACTATTATATTTCATGACTTAGTCAAACAAAAATTGGCCTCTCATACTTCGATATTCCCAGCATGGATTCAGGTGAAGAGGAGCCATAACTCATTGAATTTGAACCATTGGCTGCCCGACTGACTGAAGAACTGCTTGAATTTCTGCTCAGAGGTGGTTCATAGTTTTTAGCTGATGAGGTTTCTTCTGACCATGATCTTCCATCAGCTAAGGTTGCAATCTGTTTGAATCAAAAGGAAAATTATAATATAATATAATATCTCATTCAAAATAATTATCCTCTCATCTCTCTCATCCCTCTCCCTTTCTTAGTGAGCATAAATAAGGAAGACCCTGAAGAACAGACATGAGAGTATCCCTTCTTCAACGATTTTCTGCTAAGAAGACTTTAAAAAACAATAAATGACAAATAAAAAAATGTAAGCAATGAAAGTGCATGAATGTTTCTAAATTTGGGGGGTAATCCACTGAATCTCTCCTTCCCTTCTTCTCAAAGCAAAAATTTCCAGTTATCCCACATTACAGTTTTATCTATCAGTTTTTTTGGGTAGGAGATGAGGAGATGGATTTATTGGGAACCTCCCTTCTCACGTCCTCTATTTCCATCCTTCCTTAATGTTTCCTCAACTTTTTGCCCATCCTATGCACAGTTTTATGGTAAATAATTGAACAAGCCTTTGAAGTGGAAGAGAGGTAGAGAGAGAGGAAGAGAGGCCCAGATCTAGGAATAAACCATACCTTGTCTCTGTAAAGTGCTGCTGCCCTGCTGTTGTACTTTTCTTGAATGGACATATCTGCTCGGATATCTGGTTGAGACTTGAAGAAAGCTTTTGCTTTACTGTTTCCACCAACCTGACAATTAACAAACAATTTTTATTAATATTTCTCATTAGTACAAATTCTTTCAAAGATCACGTCATTTTTGTTCTTATCATAACTACTAAAATATAATCATCATTATTATAATTATCATTATTTTTTTGTTATCATTATTTTTTCATTTATTCCTTAACCCTATACACCCTGACACTAGTATCCACATTCTCCATGTACTTCTCTGTACATTTTCTTTAGTACTGACTAGGAGAATTTGTTTCACAATCAAAGCTTATCATCTCCTTTATTCTCATGATCTTATCAAATGATTTAGCATTATTACTAATGGGAGAAATGCTGAGCACTCTTGGGGCTAGGGTTACGATTAATTAAGACAGTTTATTCACTGGAAGTTTCTGTATACTTTAAAATCAAAATGTTTTATTCACTAGATGCTGGTACCTTCATTTTCTCCAGCTCAATGTCTTTCCATTTGTCCATGGTTACTGATCTTACAAAACTAAAACAAGAATTGTATAACAATCAGTAACTGGTTTGTTT